TTGGTTGATGTGCAACGGGCGAATTAGGGTTCTTGCGAGTGTCCGGATTATATACTGGTGATCTGAAAGGCGCCACGACTGGGTCTTTTGGCTTGTAACTGTACGGCCGCCCATTCGACATATATTGCTGCGCAGGGGGTACAGCAATAGGTGCTGGTTTGAGCGGATAGGAAGCCGGGTACGAAGCACGATGGAATGCTGGCACTGGAGGAGGTGGAGGTTTGACAGTATCGAGAAAGTTGCTCTTTGGGTTGTTCCTCGGCTTCGCAGGGTTCTCAGTGTACTGTGGCCTGGCCTCAGTTGACAACTTTCCGAGATAGTACCACAACTGGTCTTCCTTGCTCAGGTCGACCTTGGCCAACTTCTGCGTGACCTCTGGAGCAGTGTACCATTCAGCCCATTTCTGTTCAGAGTTAGGGTCATGGAAAGGATCGCCCATCTCAGGTACACCATCTGTACGATTGGTGATGTCGAGAGACGCATCGCTTTCCTTCAGATGCTCTGGTAGTGGCTTAGCGTTCGCAGATGGCTTCAACCTCTGTGATTCATCTGGATGAAGCTTCAAAATATACTTCCACTCAACCTCGACACGATCACTATACAGGTTAGCATAGCAGTGTAATTGGAGTCCACTTTACATACCCGTCAGGCAGCACGTCTACCAAAACAGCCTGCTCACCAGGCCTGTTCTCCACGACCTGTGCACCGTAGATTTGGTACATCTCACCACCCACATACTGGAACTGGATAACGTCCTTGGGTTTGAGGGTCTTGCCGTATGACATGACGTATTTGTCCTTCTCAAGTGCTTCAACGTCGACCGTCTTGTTGTTCCTCTTTTTCGGTCGATGGAAGCGGCATCGGAAGTCGTAGCCATCGTAAAAGTACTCTGTACCCTCTTCGTCAAATGTAGGCATCGGTCCAAGGTCTACCTGTACTCCAGCTGCTACAGCACATGTGGCGTGAAAAGCCCTGGTGCACTTCTTCTGGGAGCACTGGAAGACAGCACCGCGCTTCGACCGACAGTAGTTGCACTTGAGTTCGAGACGATCCTTGCCAATGTTGGCCACATTGCACACTGTTTCAACGTCGTTCTTTTTGACAATGTACGTTTCGGGCGTGTAGTCAGCACAGATGCGATGGGCCTTCATGCCATTGTCGGTTTGCAGCAGATCATCATACTCGACGTCGTTGGGACAGAGGATACAAGGCATACCACGACCAGGGATCCGGATGCGAATGCGAATGCGTTTGAGCTTCTTCGGCCGTGATGAATCCTTGGGATCCTCCTTCCCTCTCTTCCTTTTGTTGCCAGTGGACTTGCGGCTGGCTTTGGCTTTGGTCTTTCCAGCAACGCTAACAGGAGGACTGGGCAGACGATCAGTGCCATCATCCTCATCCTCTTCATCGTCCGTCTCTTCATAGTACTCTGGGGTTGGTTCACCTCTCAGCTTGCGCTCAATCTCATTGACATCAACCCAAACACTGTCAGATTCGCACATGCATTTCTTTGCAATTCTACCGTAGCTCAACCACGACTCATTTGCAAAGTTGACCGACTCTGCACAATTGTAGCCAATGTTGTAGCCAGAGTGGTAGCCATAGGGGTAGGTGATGACGAATTCGCCTTCGTAGTGAACAAGTCGGTTGACTTTGATATTGAAGTCTCGCTCTAGTCGCTGTGGAGAGATCAAATAAGTCTTGTGACGAAGAAACTGCGAGCAATGCTTCGCATCATTTGGCCATATGGTCTGCATTGCAGCTTCAAAGCGACGGGCGTCCTCTTGGGATATGCTGTACCATTGCTTGGGGGCACCAAAGTGAATGTAGTTGATACTGTAGAGATCCACATCCTCCAAATGCCAGGCAAACGTCGCCTTCCACATACCCAGATATAGGTAGGCGGTGTTGACACCAGGAACTTTGGTTCCAAGTACATCGAGGAGGTTAGGTAGTTTTGCTACATTCCAGGACGTTGTGCTGTCATCGAAAAGAGAACCTGGCATATCTGCACCGTACATTGGTTGGCCGTAATTGATAGTCTTCCAGTAGTTATCCTCGAGCTCCTTGCAACGTTCAACGGTGTACTCCTCGAGGCCGGGCAGGCGGTAGTCAAAGTTTTCAAAAGCAGCCTCGTCAACATGGTCGGCCATGGCACCCCTATTGTTCAGTCGTCGAGATGAAACAGACTTCTTCTCATCAGCCACTTTGGGCTGTCGACCACGTGCTCTGGTAGGCGTCGGGGCCCGGGGTTCCTTCTTGACTCTTCTTGAAGACCTCTTCTCCTCCTTTCCAGGCGACGTGGGTGTAGGAGGAACATCCATGGGCTCATCGTCGTCGTCATCGTCATCAACAGGCTCCTTCTTCACCTGACGCCTCCGGGTGGGGCGACCAGGTCCACGCCTGGGTGCTGGTGAGGCATCTTCGTTTTTTGAGTGTGCGGGTTGGGCCCTTGTGGAGCGGGTTCGAGAGGGAACCTCTGGGGCAGCTTTGCGTCGCTCGCCTCGCTTGGCTGGTGGCTGATGGTGCGGCTCATCCGTCACTGCCCTCCACTCTGGTAGGTTGTATGATCGCTGCTTCTCAATGTTCGCTTGTGTGTATATGCCATGCTGCCCGTTGAACTCTTGCGTGATTGGATTCTTGACTTTGATGCTCTTGACAGCTTCGGTAAGGTCAGGGAGGGATTCGCGCCTGTTGTGCCATTAGTTTCCAAAGAGTAGTTGGTAACAATCGCGTTGACATACCATTCCGACGGCGGAATGACCTTAATTATACCCGACTTCATGCCATATTTATCAACCTTATCGATGAAGCGCTTGAAGTTGCGAAACTGGTCCATTGTCTGTAGAGGGCAAAGTCAGTACCATAGAAACCGCTTTTGCGTGCGTCATATCTGTAGTGACATGGCGCGCGTCACGATTGCTTTCTGGGGCAGCTCATGTGCATCTTTGCGACGTACCGGCTTGAACACGGGTATCTTTCCCCCTTCAAAGTAGTGATCGGGCTCGATGTCTTCGCCGTCGTCGCTATCAATGTCTGAAAGTTCCGACGACATATCCTCAAAACGCTTATCGTTGTCTTCGCTCGTGGGCGGCGTCAGAGCCGGCTTGTTGGTGGCGTCATCCTGCGGGATAGGCGGTGCCTCGACCGAAGGCACGACGTCTTGCGGCGCCTCCATGGTAAAGGCAATCGTCGCACAAGAGAGTTTTGCTGTGCAGAAGAGAGAGGAGGTCGTTGGCGACTGATGATTAGGGTTGCGGAGACGATGTGGTCAACATGGGTCGCTTTTCCGCCACGGAGGGCGCGCGTAAATCTATTAGCTCCGCAACAATTTTGCCGGTAGCGCAGAAGGTCTCTCGGGCTTCTGGTGTTGTCAGATGGCGAAATCGCAAGTTGTCGGGGCTGGTAGACGGCTGAGAACGCCAGGAGGCTAGGTGTGCAAGAATGAGGAGGTTGCAGTCTCGCGGTCTGTGCACGTACCCAGCTAGTAATTAGCGTGCATAGACCCCGGCTTGTCGACTGATGATCGAGCCACCTTTACCACCCAGGCAAAGGCGTGGGATGTAGCCGCTATCGCTTTCACTATGCGTTACAGGGCTGAAGAAGGTGGAGACGGGGCTGGCTGTTTGCTGTCGGGTATAGAGAGGTTCCTGAACGAAGTAACGCGCGAGATGTAGTAGATCATGTGCGACTCCAAGCGGCATGCACGTCATCCGAGGTCACATCTGTGAATCTGATCTGATAAGATAGCAGCCTTGTCAGCGACCAGCCTGCCAGGGTTTCCTTTCCAGACATCCGTGGTTAGATGCAGGCAGTATGCCAATAAACTTCAGCACATTGTTCAAGCGTCAGTTGTGCATCATGCGCATTGCAGCAATTGGCTTCACAGTCAAACTCTTCGTCTTGGACGCATGGTAAGCTTGAAACAGTGTACCTGGATTTAGGGGTTAAGCTTTTCTGACTGGCGCCCATCTCAACGGTTGCAAAACCCACTAGTTCGTCCGTCACGGCACTGCAAGACTACACCCCACCCGTATGCGGAACAGGCTCGTACTCGGCAGAAGGTCTTTGCAAAAGGCATGTGCTTTTTTCGCTATTCATGTATGTGCATGCGTCAATAGTCGCATGGGCCGTATGTCAGTGTTGGTGGACTGCCCAGCGGCACCACAATGACCGGGATAAACTCATCACACCACAGCATCGACAACTTGAGGCAATGATTGTGCATCCTTTTAAATAGAACCAAGATATCTAGTCAAGCTCAGCTAAATTTTGAGACTACTACAAGCTCTTGCAGCCTCCAGTTACGCAGTGCTGGTTTTGTTCAGGACTCTGGTCAAGCCCACCACTACTAGACCTCTCTGTTACAGGGCTTTTTGGTGAAGAAACCCAAAGCAAAAGCGAAGGGTATTGTCACTTAGGTAGGCTGCACTGGCCCTATCTTGGTCTCCTCCACGTGGGGCGTGACAAGGACAATAGTCTTTAGTCATGGCAGGGTGCGTGCTGCCAACTCCACACCGACTCGTCGTACTCGCATTCGCCAATCGGAGTCGTTGAGCAAGCCAGCACATCCCCCATGCATCTTCCCCGGATCGACACGCCGCTACTGCCAGGGGCAAGCCGAGCCGTCATCGTCATCGTTTGCCCATGCTTCAATGCCAAGTCACAAACTCCTCTTACCCCTCCAATCCATAGGCCTCTCACAATAAGCAGAAAAGCACCTCACGGACAAGTAGACCAAATTAAAGACAATCGTACAAGCCATGTTTTTTGAGCGCCAGATCATCCCCCAGAATATAGTACAGTGTCCCATACCCGAAGAAATAGAGATCCTATGCACCGATGCTATGCTACCAAATCCACTAGGCTGTACATTACGCCTATCAGCTCTTCATAACTCATTCTGCCCAGACATTCCATGCAAGAGCATCCAAACCCTTTGCGCAAGCAACTTTTTTCTGCGTGTACGAGCCTTTTCACAGGAATACTATATTCCTGCTTTACGATGATTCGCCTCGGGGACCACCACGGAAACCGCCACGTCCTCCCCTGAACTCTCCACGGCCACGGCCACGGCCACCACGGAATTCACCGCGGGGTCCACCTCGGCCCCTACCCCTGTATCCCCCGCGATCACCACCACCGTGACCTCCTCGTCCCCGACCGCCACGGCTGTGATGGACTTCAGAAAAGCCGTCGTTAGCAGCCGCAGGGCCTGCGGGCGCCGAACCTTGCTCGGGAGTGTCGTCAGCCCAACTCTGGGTACTGTTGGGGGCAGCAGCGGCAGCGTGTGGTGTCTCGGTTTCGGCGGGGTCTCGCGGGACTATCTCGAAAGATTCAGTCAGAGGGTCATCGCTTCCGGTCTGCTGCTTGTCCCATTGGGCCTGAGCTGCAGCATTCGCCGAGCCTGTTCCAACGTTGGCTGCTGCCGGTACCTCTGAAGGCTCCGCCACAGCTTCAGTAACAGGCTTTGCGCCAGCCTCCATCTCGGTAAGTCCGGCGTTGGCGATGGTTGGGTCGGACACAGCCTCAGGAGGGGCAGCTTGGTGTTGCGCAACATCATCTACCCAAGCTTCTTCCGCAGCGAAGGGAGCTTCCTCAAGCGCGGCTTGCTTCACCTGAGAATCTATATACAGTCAGCTCGTTTGGATCTTGCACATGATTCTCCATAACCTACAAGTGATGCCCAGTACAACGCCCTCAGTTGATGGTACGCCGTCGCTCGCACCGTCAATCAGCTTCTCAGCTGCCATGACAGCAGCGGCATCTCCTCCGTAGACCTGAAGAAGAGCGCCCTCAAAAGCCTTTGTGAGATCCGAATCGTCATCCTCTAATTGGCGACGTGCGGCAGCAGCTCTCAAGAAGCGGGACAGGGTCAAGAGCTTCTCCTTGACAATCCTCTGTTGCTCCAACTTGGCCTCAGCCTTGATAGTCTCCCTCAATGTCTCGAGTTCACTAGAGTGTGTCTTGGAGAGAAGCTCCTTCTCCTTGGCGAACTTGGCCTCGAGCTCATCACCGTACTTCTTATAGTTGGTGTACTGCTCCTCATACTGTGCGAGCTGAGCCTGAAGGCCTGGTTTCCTCTCAGCCTGGGCCTTTTGGTCGGCGTTGATCTTGCGAGAGGCGAGGAGCTCGTCGAGGGAGACGCCAGGGTTGGCTGCGATTATTGAGTCGACCTTTTGAGTGGCGCTCTACACATGCGACGTTAGCATAGGCTAGTGGGAGGGGTAAAGGGGCACACTGATCTTACCAGTTTCTTGTTGATGTTGCGGATGTTTCTATGCGCCTGGCTGTTAGCGGGCGGCTTCTTTGCTAATGGGGAATCTGGCTGTAATGTGGAGAGTTGCAACTTACTTCTGGATCTCGCGGAGGTACGAGTTGTCGCTGTCTGCGCCATTGGCCTTGCCTGCAGCCTCTGAGCCACCTGCGCCGGCTTCAGACGCTGTCTTTTCGGGTGCGGCTGGTACTGCAGTAGCTCCTTCCTGCTTGCCCTTCTTCTTGCGAGCACTCTTGGACTCCCCTGTTACCAGGTTCTGCAGCTTGTTGACTACCTCCGAGGCCATTGCAGTATTCAATTGTGCAGATTCTGATGATTTAAGTGACTTCTACACGTGAGTCGCGTATTTGAATTTGAAGATGAATTCGAGCTTGTTTGTCGTGTGAGTTTGAAGTGGATGGTTTGGGCACATGGTCGCCCGCCCTCAACGTAACAGCGAAATTAGCGTGGGCACTAGCGCCCTCGTGGGCATGACGCACCCCCTCGGGCTCTGAACGTGTAGTATACAATAAGCAAACACCCGCCCAAGATCACAGCTGCTGCCTGCATATACAAAAAGCTCATCATAGGTCGCGTCTATGCCCAAAATGCTTGAAACCTTCCAAGCTGTACGTATTTCCAAGCAACACATACTCGCCACGCGGAGAGCAGTCAATGCTGATCGATTGCTGAATCATATTTGATAAAGAAGCAAGACATGAAATTATGTAGACAAATTTGCATGGAAATACAATCCAACTCACAATAGAGTATATGACGCAAACTGAGGTATCACACCGTCGGTCCAACAGCAACTCCATGAGATCCTATGTAAAATCATAAACCACAAGTGCTTGGCTGCCTTCACTCTTCTCTCGCAACACGACAACGTTTTGCTCATCAAACCCAACCCATCCTCGACTGACTGATGAGTCATCAAAGCCTTGGTCAAGTGCAAAGCGTAGCCCATTCTCCCCTCCGGAAGCATCGTTTTGACTGTCTGCTTCACCAACTTTCCACGGCTGTATGCGCACACTCAACTCCCCGTTCCTTGAGCGTTTTCGGTTTGCAGAAGAGTTCATACCACCTTCTAAATCCCAGACGCGGAGTTCGTCTCCAATTCTGCTGACTGACACGGCCTTACCGCGCATTCCGACGTGGGCGCCAGAAATGGAGGACGTATGGCCCCAAAGCCGGTTTCCAGAACTGATTGAGAGCGCCGAAGATGTTGATCGAACCAAGTACAACGATAAAGTATTGTCCGGGTGCGCCACAAGGAGGTAAGGATGCGAATACGACATCGAGGTCGGCTTCGATCTGCTAGGTCCATTAGGGACAGATGCATCCCTTGCATTGTCTGAGGATGTGTGTACTGGACAGGAAGACGGAGAACGATACGCAGATAGTGTAAATGAATGCTCATCCGCTGCAGTAGCCAACCTTGACTCTAGAAGCTCTCCTTTGTGAGAAAGTATCAGTTCTTGTACACCGACAGTCCAGCCAGACAGATAGGTTGGAAGAGAGTATGCAATGGCTGCAGTCATGCTTGTCGCATTCATCCTCAGTGAAAGAGAGACGGGCGGCCATGCAGTGTGTGACCGGAGGGAGTACAGAAGTTTAGGAGGCTCCAATTCGCCATGCGTATTTGGTGTCCCTTCGAAAGCATATAGAGAAAGGAGATGATCTTCAGTCATGGTAAGAAAGTAAGGCGACGAGTACGCCAGTGCGGATAACATCCCATTGGTAGATGGTGGATGAGTAAACAGGGTTTGGAATCTCTTGCGATCCCTCTTCAGTGCGTATATCGAGAATGAACCATCCTCGAAGCCCATGGCTACCCTCTCTTCATTGCCCTCTTTTCCAGAGGCGTCTATAGCCATAGATATGGGTAGTTGTGGTGCATGTGGTTCCCCATGGAGTTCTGTGGATGCTAGTAGCTCGCGATCATCCTTCGAGCTCCAAGCCCGGAGACCTGATAATGAATCTGCCGCATAGACGACGCTGTTCGACATCATTACCAAAAGAGGTGGATCTGGTGGTCGTTCGGCGACGACAATCTCACTGACGGCGCATTTACCTCTTGTCCAATTATGCCGTAAACGATATTGCTGTTTCCAGTTTGTTTCTTTCCCATCCTTGACAAGATAACTGTCTTCCAGCCATTTTGACAACCGAGAGGAATAGTGTAGTCGATTAGGGTTGGCAGGGTCTTTAATACCGGGTATGCGAGATGCCCGTGGGAGAACGAATGTGCGGTAGTAGGCTGCCTTCCAAAGCTCAGAATCCAAAGACAGGCGGCTGAACCGTTTCGATACTCTGCGCGACAGTTAGTTCGGGTTCGATTCGATTCTTCAGAAGGGCGTACGTACCTCTGGCATACTAGTAGTGACGGTACAGGGATAAATGACAGTACACGAACCAGCAGCTCTTCGCTTAATCTAGACAGCCGATCGGGGTGCAAGAGCCGTTGCACCTTGGTTGGAGGCTCGTTGTCGTCATCCCCATCGTGCGCACGCTTCATAATAGAGAGTGTCAAGTCGGCGGCGAAGGCGAACGAGCCTCGGCAGTGATTGTTCCACCGTTATCGTTATCGCGTACCAGTGTCCGTGCGGTGAGACACTCGTGATTACGCGTTGGCACTAGCGCGCTTCTTTGGACGTTGCCGCCTAATTCCCTTGCACATCCCCAGCCGCGTTCGGACGTGAGCATGTTTAAGTTTACCTGAGTGACCACGATCCTAATTCATGCAATATTCTTTGTGCGAGAGATGGCAGACTTCACAATCTGGGTAGAGCAGAACAAAGCGCTGTGGTCGCGTGTCTACGATGAGGTCATTCAGCCAAGTCTCGAGAAAGAGTGGAATAAGAGTACGTATGATCCTAGTTGCGCCAGTAATATCTAATTGCGCTTCAGGGGAAGAGAGACATCAGAATCAACTGAAAGAGAGTGCGTAATGCCACACTTGCGGCGCAACCATTACTGATGTCAGCAGAGGAAAAGAGCCATGAGGCACTGCTGGAACATCTGAATAATGAGATTTCGAAGTCGGCGCGTCTTTCTAGTGAGAACGCTCAACTGAGAGACCAAGCCCAGACTAAAAGTACTATCCAAGGCGAGAAAGGGGCCATTTCACAAAGTATTTCAGTGGAAGAGCATCGCCGCCTAGTCGAAGAAAATGAGCAATTGAAACAGCAACTTGCCAGACGCAATGCAGAAGCTGCCCCATCAGTATCAGCTGAGGAAAAGGCAATCGAAGACGTCGGGACGACAATCACAGACAATGAATATCACGACCTTGCCCAAAAGTTCAGCCAACTAAGCAAGAAGTATAGCGATGCCACTCAGCAGGTGAAGTATCTGCAGCGGAAGAATGCTACAGTCATGCAAAAGAACAAAGACATGAAAGAGAGTGTACGCGCATGGCAAGAGTATGCGGATCGGCAATCGGGAAAGCGGAAACATAAGTTCCAAAGTCGAGTCGAGCCAGCAAGGCTGCAATCACCTGCCAGCCGTGTTTCTCCAGGGGATGAACCCAATATCCCTTCAAGTCCTCGGAGTACGGCTACACCCAGGCTATCTCCAACTCTCACCGACTTAGGGCGTTCCTCCCCCGCTCTCATGGTTCCCCATGCCCCTGAAGGAACTGCGCATCAGTCGACGACGACATTGGATTCGGTTTTGGGTGAACACGATCCATCCGAAAATGCAGACATCACACCAAAGCCACGGCCTCGCATCAACGGCTCGAAGCTATCAAAACTTCAACGGATAACTTCAGATCACGACAGCCGTCAGCAGACTCATCCAAGTTCGAGTCAGACAACAGTGGATGAGCGCGATGAATCAATGACTCGGCATGAACAGATAGTAGGCGTTGAAGATGAGGATGATGACATGCCGGAGTTTGTATCAGAGAGGTCACTGAAACGCAAACGTGGAGAACCGACCACTTCTAGATTCGAGATTTATGCAGACCGGTTATCGGATGGCACACCTGTTAGGCCGTACCGTGTGAAAGAAGAACAGTGCAGTAGCCCTCCGGTCTCTGCATACAAGCTACTCCACTATGAGGCGACGATGGACCTGGATGATCCTGCATCCAACTTGCTTCAGACACCTCGTCATAACCGAAGGCGACTATCAATCCCTGCCACCAGCGCAGAGACACCTCGACGGCGAAGATGCAATAGCGCACCATCAACACAAGAGATCAAATCAGAGAATGAAATTGATCAGGTCCTTATGCCAAATAATCCAGTAAGGCTGACCACAGAATCCCTTATGCTTCCAGAAGTCGCCAGCACGGAGACTCGAGCCTTTAGTGAGCCCATGGAGCCAACTCAGATAGAGACCAATGTCCTAAAATCCATCGATCCAAACATAGTGAACACTGTTTCTGAGGAGCCACCGAACAAACGCTCAAGGAACACGGGGTCCCGGTATCAACAAAAGCATGAATCTTTATCAGAGTCTAATGAAACACTGCCCTTTCTAGACAGTGAGCTACGGCTACCACCTACCTCAGCCCGGGCGCGAATGAACCAGAGGTTTCGAGATCTGAAAGATCTCCAATCACCCTCCAAAGCGCAATCGAAGACCCTACAAACAGGCCCAACCAAGGTCAAGATTGGGCAGTTTTCTACCCCATCAAGCTCGTCCCACACCACATATACCCCTGGTCTTGAGAAGAAATCGGCTCAGTCAGTATCCAAACGTCGTTCGGATTCACGTGAAGATCCAACACCGGATCGCCCAATCTGGACAATGAAGCCGCCAGAGACACGCTCAAGTGCTCGAAAGAAACGTGATTCGTCATCCAAAGAACAAGTCCCTCTACGAGAAAAACCGGTCACAGAACTTGGTATTCAAGATTTCAAGCCAAACCCAGCTTACAATCAGGGCTACAGCTACGCGTTCTCTGAAACTGTTCGTAAACGTGGAGATCGCATGTGTCTCCCTGGCTGTACAAACCCACAATGTTGTGGGTCCACTTTCCGAACTTTTGCAGCGGCTCAAGCACCTCTTAGTGCCTCACAAGAAGAGGCTTTGCTGGAAGACTACCTCGGAGAGGCTTACAGCAAATTACAGTTGACGCAGATGTCATCCGAGGAACGACAGGAGCTAGTGCTACAAGCACGAACAAGGAAAATGGCGAAAGAATCAGGGAAGCATCGTGAAGCCTACCAGCGACGAAGGACGCCACCAGGCTTCTGGAGGGTGGATTTTCCAACAACCCAAGAACGGGAGGAGGATCGGGCACGTGCGAAAGAACAAGAGAGATTGGAAACACACGAACGGTGGATTGAGGCGAACAGAAGGGGCGGCAAATGGATTTTCAGAGATGAGTAAGAGTTTTATTCAGAAGCCCTCCGAGTGGAGGGCACCATACGTGAACCGTGGTTACGATTTTAACATGAATTTATGCTCCTGTTAACCATAGTAAAGACTGCGCCAATGGTAGACATTGACACATGGGGCTGTCTACTCCTATTCATATATCAAGTCGACCATCTATAGTGCTCTTACACTCCAAGCTAGATATACTTCACACCACACAGAACACCACTTCCTCACCATACACACCATACCCAAGCTATACCAAAGCACCACTACATCACCACCAAAGCCGCATCAAGGCCACACCAAGAACAGGTTCAAATACCTTACACACATGACAACAACCATGTCTCAACAAATGTACACCCGCGAAGAGTTCCTCTTCTTCTTCATCAACCCCACCACCACCTCATCATACATGACCGCAGAATGCACAATCTGCAGAGAACCTTTCTCGTCCTCCCCCGATGGGTGTGCAGTAACTTTCTCAGACAAAGAAAGCTGTAAACACGTCTTTTGCAAACCCTGCATCACCCAATGGCTGCGCACCAAAGGGGTCAACTCCTGCCCAACATGCAGGAGGCAACTCTTTGTTCTCGACAACGAGTACTATGACGATGATGATTTTTCTGATGGAGAAGATGAGGAAGAGGACGAGGACGAGGACGAGGACGAGGAGGAAGAAGGAGAAGCCGAAGTCTTCTTCACTAACGAGGAAATCATGGAATTACTCGAAGACACTTGGTACAAGGTTTTCTGGTTGCTTGATGAGCATCGTCGGTCTGTCTCGAGGGCGGACAGCACTGTTCACGAAGAAGAAGACGATGAAGACGATGAAGATGAATTAGCCACCAAACCCCCTCTCCACTCTTCCACCCTCCTACATTCCTTCATGCGCACCGTCGCATCCCGTGTGGACACTTACTACCTCAACGACGCTACGGGTTTCGCCACTGGCATGAAAATCAATGTGCTTTCGTGTATTCTCCTCCGAATAACGGCCGAGCTGGTCAAGCGTATCGAAAGCACCAGTGGAAAGGGAAAGGTGCCGGCTTTTTCGCGGGAGACGGCGGCGGAGTGGGAGGGGCCTTTGAAGTGGGTCATGGGGTATATGTAGATTGTATTCGAGACCCGATAAGCGGGTGTTTTAGGAGAGGGATTTAGCACAGCAGACTGAATGAGCTTGAGCTTAGTTTTTGTGGCTTGGGATTTGTGGCTTGGGATGTTCCCTGGAGAAGATTCGGGGCAGCGGGCTGGGTTCGCCGCAGTTTTGTGGCTTGGATATCCTGGAAGGGATCTTTGCATTAGCGGGCTGTATACTGTTTCACTTTGTGGTTGGGATATTCCCTGGAGAATTGAACTGTTCGGCTGGACCCCTATGCACAGTATAGCTTGGATGTACCTTAAAGGACACTTTGTAACACTAGGCTAGATTTCGCCTTGTTATGTAAATTAACCTTTCTTATTTCACTCTGTTGGACACATTGCAATGAATAATAAGTGGGGGGTTTTTTTTGCTTCCGCATCTTAGACTTTGATCTGTTGATATTCGCTACATAAGAAAAAAAAGAGGAAATCTGCCAAATAGGTCACACACATACGTATATGGCGGGTATATAGAACTTTGCAAAAAAAAAAAAAAACGCCTTCAAACCAAGAAAAAATAATACAACAAATTGAACAAAAGACTTCTTGTCCCCAACCTTGAACACCTTGCGTGCTTTTAAGCCAGTGCCAGACAAAAAATAGGAAAGAAAAAGGTATGGAAATATGAACATGGACTCATGAACAGAGATAAGGAAAGGAAAGGAGATGGTAGGAAAGTGAACAAAGGGAAAAAAAAGAAAAGAAAAAGAGTGCCAGTCTAGTAGTATACACTGCGGCTTTTGGCCACTACACGCGAATGCTTCCCTTGCGGTACTTCTCATCTTTGAGCGGGACAGGCGGGCGTTCATCTTCCGAGTTGCACTGAGAAGGCATGGCCGAGTCCTTGCGCTCATGTCTGGGATCGTACTTTGCACTGGGAAGAGTGCGCTCAGGGATGTACTTTGCACTCGAAAGCATGGGTTCGGGCGAGTAAGTCGCGCTGGAGAGAGTGGGCTCCTTCGGGCTGTATCTTGCGCTTGAGAGGGTAGGCTCGGGCGAGTAGGTGGTGGCGGGCAGGAGTTGGTATATGCTTGAATGGGATGTGGTAGAAGGGGATGTGTACATGAATTCATCGATTGCGTCGTCGATGTCGCTGAGGAGGTTGTTCTCGTTGGAGTGGGAAACTGAGGAGTTGGACTTGCGGTCGAAGGGCTGCTTGGGGTCGAAGGGGAAGGTGAAGGAGATTGGGCGCTCCTCGGGGGTGTAGGAGATTTGCGGTGCGAGGAATGCCGAGGTGGGCTCGAAAGGTGATGGGTGGTAAGGTGTTCGGGGGCTGACAGGTAACGGTGAGAGCATCGCCTGAGAAAGAGGGGTTTCAGGAAGCCTCTCGCGTGGGCTAGCAGGGCCCAGCGATGCTGGTCTGGCTTTTCTTTGGGAGAATCCGCCGTCGTAGGTCGTCGCTGGTAGAAGGTAGGAGTTGTGCTCTGGTGCAGAGGTAGAGACTTCCTTCTCTTCCCGTACGATGGTGTAAGAAATAGGTCGCTCGCCTTGCTGGAAGGGGCTTTCTGGCTTTAACAGACTGTCGGCTTGCTTGGATGGGCTCTCGCCTTCTCTGAAAGGACTTTCGACCTGATCGTTGTTCAATGTCGAGGAAGAGGAGAAGCCAGGAGAGAGTATAGGATCGCTCTGGCTCCTTGTATGTGTGATGTAGCGTGGCGAGGGAACTTGAAGGTGGCTTGGGGAAAGCTGGTAGTCCGGTGGCGGTGCGATGAAGATGTCGCCATGACCCATGCGCTCACCTGGGTCGACGTTGCGGAGAGCTCGCAGTCTCTGGTTTGCAAAGTCTGCCTCGAGAATATGTGCCCTCTCAACCAGCTTGTCGACTAGCTTGCCATGTGAGTCCTTGAAAGTCCTCTTGACGAAGCTCAATAGCAGTGCTGAGCATGTCATCCTGACATCTTCCCGAATATATAGTCCGTTCCTTGGTGTTCTTAGGTCAGGCTCGGCGGGAAGCTTTGGTTCACCGGGTAGCCTTCCTCCTACAGTCCACTTTGATTGGATGTCGAGACCCAATGGTGCGTATACATGTGTGAAGAGGCCATCGGCTGTGTCGTTGAAGCAAGCGTGATATGATACTGAACCAGTAGCCAGACCGCCTGGTAGATATGAGACCTTGTCTTGTAATCGTTAGTCTTGGGTACAATAATAGGGGGCTGGTGAGAGGGGGTTTACCCTTGATTGTGTACCACATGGCCCAGTACTCATCAGTGGGCGCATAGGAAGGAGGTTTGCACATGAACCGCTCTACAACCAACGGGTTCAAGTCAATCATAGCCAAGTGGTCATGGTACATGTCTATCACGCTCTTCCTTGTGATGCCAGCCGGAAGCGGCGTAATAGTGGTGAAGACAGCAGTCTTCGGCATCCTGTCTCCTTTAGTGCGGGTTGAATCTAAATCGATCTTGATCTGGTTCCAAGTTTCAAGGAATCGGGGTATGCGTGGATGCGTCTAGATGTTTATACACACGCGCGTGAGAAGATGGAGAGGTAGAGGAAAGTTGTTTGGACAGCAGAGCAGCGAAGGAAGACGTATTTGTTTCGCAGGGTAGAAGAAGCCGAGCCCAAGAGCGCTGACACACTTCGCACGTGTATCAGGCATGCGCTAGAGCACAGCTTCAGATCCCCTGCACCATTCATATTTGCGGAAGGTTTGGGAACGACAGGACCCTCGCCAAGCTCCTTGCCAATACTTCGGGAACGACACTGATGCCGTTCTCGACACGCATCTAGAATTCTGCCTCCTGTCATCAGCTGCCAAGCGCAGCCGGAAGTGTGTTTGACCGTTCTGTTTTGATGCAGGTCCTCCAAGCGGCACCACCAGCTCACACTGGCAGCGTCTAGAAAACACTAATGCCGAGAGCCCACAAACACAAAAATCCACATTGCTAGGCGCAGACGCGGAAGTGGAAGTTTTGTGCCGGAACCAAGTGGCGTAGTGTAGCAGATGTCCGTATCCTGGTGCAGATCCGCCGCATGTACGTTAGAAGCTAAGGTCCGCGCTAGCACAAATGCGGAAGTTACAATGAACTATTCGAGGGTAGTTCTACTTGAACTTCAACTTTACAGTACAACTTGTGTATAATAGACTTTGCCTGTCAACCATGACTGTCAAAAGGAAGGTTTACTGTCATAATAGGCATCCACGAAAAAAAAAGGCTTCGGCTGTACACTCAGCGACTGCTGCGCATTGCGCACCGCAGAGTACAAAGTACCCCAGAGATCGCCATCTTCAGGCATTGCATGTCTCTTTTCCGTTTCAGCATGGCTCCGTCAGGCATTCATCGTATGTTCAGGCAGGTGCATCCCCTTTACCCGAAGGAGATTTGCTGTGCTGTTACAAACCAAGCGTTTGAAAACGACATGTTAAGAAAAGTGGCGCTCGGTTTGACATTCAGGTCTCCGCACCGAGGTCCAGACGTACTTATTTCTCCAAGGTGCGCTGTTTCATCCGCGTGTATGCAAGCGCCCTTTCTTCTCGTCGTCTACAAATCCTTCTTCTTGGACGTGTCTACGTGACAAATGCCCGATGCTATGTATAGTAGAAATGATTTGCAAAAAAGCAAAAAGGTACTCCGCACCCGTTATCGATGACATATACTGCCCTGTTTTTAGGCGTGCGGATTATTTCGCCCTTTTGCTTTTGTCATTGCTTTTGTCATCGCATTTGGCCGAGAACTAAACACAGAGGCTTAGATAGCGCGATACCTGAGGTGTCATTCAGATTGACACCTGTCACAAAAGCAAACTTGCATAGACTCTTCGCAACGATACTGTATCAAGATAGATTACGAATATTGATATTGTAGCTGAATTTCAGTGCTGCGCAAAGCAAAGCAGAGCAAACGAGAGACATCATTCATTCATGAGAACACCAAAGCGCCGCAATCATGCCTGATGATCGCTTTCCTAGTTATGTACGCGTCACCCTCACGTCTTCAGTCTCATCTATACACCTTGGTGCATTTTGATCTCGTTCCCATATGGCTTCTTCCCAGCGCTCGCCGCACCAGTCTTGCGTCCTTTGATAACTGCCATCACACTAAGCCCGAAGGTGGCCATCCACGCAAACCACGAGACAGCGCTGAGCGCCGTGCTTGCGCGAGCTACATCGCAGACCTAATTGATCACAGTTAGTCTCCATTCAGCGTAGACTATACTATTTCCTCTAGTTCGCCTCTGGAAATCTGCTTCTACAGCCTGAAACATCACCATTGACAATCGAAATCACACTTACCATGCCAAAGCAGATGCGACCGTTCAAAAACACGCCTAGCGAGACAAAACCACTGAGCCAAAAGAGCATCGTCATGCCTTCGATGCCCAACAGAGTCCACTTCATAGCGGTTTGTTCTGCCAAGTGGGCGAATTTGCCCAGCGAGATGAGCATCAAAGGAGCGAGCGTCAGAAGACTCCAAGCTGGCGCGAAGATGAGGTAGTTGATTTCGATTGGAGACGACTGTCGCCAATGACTTGACCACCATGATGATACTGAGACTACGTGAGCTTGGGTCTAAAGTACAGGCAAAGAGTCAAGCATACCGTACGCCATGAGTCCCAAGACAACAATAGAAAGTACGGCTTGAGCGGCGCGCGCAGGAAGCATCCAGTTCATCGCCATTTTGGATGTATGCTGTAGTCTCTTCTCCTTAGTAAGTGTCGTATCGTATGTGTAGCTAGCTGGTGCCTTGACGCTTTTCTTGCCAAGGCGACTGGAACGAGCGGTTCGATCTGCTTGTAATATATCCTCTGAATATCGTGCGTGTCCAATATACTAGCGATTTACTGAAGAGAAGACTTGTCGCACCACAGCAAAACACCGCACACACACACAAAACGATCGTGAAAAAATCGGCCAGATACACGTCCCTTTTGGCGTTGTCCAGACAAGCGTAGGAGATCCACGGTGGAATAATGTCGAGAGGCGAGAGAAATGGGATCAAAAAGCGTGGGAGGGGAGAAAAGGGTAAAGTGGGAGAGAGAGAAACCCCGATGGTGAGGGGGTGGGTGCTTTAGTCGCTACAGGTAAAATATCCAAGGGCAATCCCTGACCGCAAAAGAAGTGCAAAGTCGAGAATCAAAAAATGAAAAAAAAAGATATTCACGGGTCAAAATAAAAAAAATAAAAAGCTTCAAACTTGGAAGAATAATAAGGCTCCAAAAAGAAAAGGAATGAAGAGAAACTCCAGGTTTCCAATCCCACGATTGAGAATGAGAGCGAGCGATCAAAAGAGGAAAGCGAAAAAAAAAGGCGTTCAAGGACGGAAAGCAAGAAGAGAGAGAAAGAGAAACCCCATCACAAAGATGGGACAAGATGAGACCCAGGCATATACAAAGGATACCCCCCCCGCCACCCCAGCCCCTCCCCACAAAAATCACACGCAACCCTTCACGTACACATTCATGCCGCCCATTTTTTTTCTCTCTCCCAGTCAACCGTTCTGCTCGCCATTGTCTACGTAAACCCACATACCACCAAAGAAAATTCCATCACACACACAGTCTGCGACCGGCGCTGCCTCAACGCTCAAAACTACCCCCACCTTCCATCTTAATGCGTGGGAATCCTACTAATATCATTAAACTAGAATTCATGCATGCGTGCGTGCCGGGCGGAAAGGTTGGGCGTATGGCCACACCAGTCCGTTGGGGGCACGGGATTTTGGGGAGGGGGGGCTTGGGTTGGTTGGTGTTTCAGCGTTGTCCCCCTTGACGGGAAACGGGGAGGTGGAAGGGGCCGGCAAGGGTGGTGGTGTAATCTGTAACGGTTGTGCGACAGGTGGTTGGGCGTTGTGATTGGTAGGATGCGCTTGGTTCGTCACAGGTTGCAGAGAGCCGCAATTTTTCGTGGTTTGGGAAGGGAAGGGAAGGGAAGGGAAAAAAAAGGTGGAAAGGACGGAAGAGGGAGAGAGGTACTTGCGCATCGCCCGAATTACGCATCCATGTTGCCTTGTATTGCGCAACGGTATTGCGTGATACGATCGGCCTTGGTTACACGCATAAAACGCCTTCACTTCACGAGATCATGGGTAGGACTAAAACGGGACCTGGAAAACATGCTGAGAATCATTGCCTTTACCCCATTTATCGTACACGCATACATCCCCCAATTACCTGCTCATGGATAACGTCTCGTAAAAGGCATCAGTCCAATGAACATTTCCTAGCTAGATCTAGGGAAATCATAGCCATATCCACCTCAGCATCCTTGCACCCAGCGTATCGTCGCCCGCATTGTTCGACAGTACAATGAGCATTCCAGCATCGTTGCACAATCAGAGAACGCCATTGAGTACACGCTGAAAACGAAAGAAGTGGGTATCCGAAAAAAAACTCAAATACACATCGAATGAAAAGCCAGATAAAAAAAGTTGAAACAGAAGTGAAAACGTGTTTTAGAACGACGGTCCCATGAGTGTTGCACCCATGTACATCAGGTGACAAGTGATCATGGCATTCATGACAGATCGACAAATGTCGAACGTAAGAATTCGATAAACACTAGCACGATAGAATCCAGAGCAATGTACAGGCACAAGCCCATCCATCTTGGAACATGGGAAGTCAAGGCATTTTCAGCGCAAGATCATCTCATTGCGGAGGTTTAGTGCTGAAGGGTAACCTCTCATACTTCACCCGCGTGGGCTGAAGTGTGTAGCCGCGCGGGTCATGTCATGACATTTGTTGACCAGCTGAGAGATGGCGCGAAGAAGGGGGCTGCCAGGAGTGCTCTCATTGAGCTGAATGTACGCAGTCGTCAAGCGTTGGACAACGACATCCATGATCTTTGGGATGATGTCACGAATCTCTGCATCCTAGAAACATGTTAACTTGAGGAAACTAGTTAGGGAAGCAGTGTACTTACGCCGGGGTTAACGCTTCTGAAGACAGCATTGAGCCAGAGAAGCCGTTCGTGCAGGTTGCGACCCAATGACTCGGAGACCACTGCTCCGGTCGAGAGTGCAAGCAGTGGGCTGACCTGGTTGAGATAGGCAGGGTCGTAGCGCACAAAGACCTCGTCGAAGAGTGCAGCACTACGCGGAGATTGCAGCCACTGCATGGTACCTTGCTCAAAGTTGCCCTCAGACATGAGTTTATGGATGGCGTCAATCTCTAGTTCCTCTGGAGTCTTCTGCTTTTGAGGAGAGCGCGCAGTCTGCATCGTACCCTCCCCACGAGAAGGAGCCTGGGTGTGGCGCTCTTCGATGGCTTGCTGCAGTTTGGCCACCTGTGACTGAAGCTCAGATTGAGTCGCAGCCATAGTTCGAATCGTGTCCAGACAGGTGTGCACAGTTTCAGTCAGTGTAGCAATCTTGGCAGTATCATCGCGGCGCTGAGTACGAGCTTGACGAAGCTCGGTTGCGATTTGACGCTCGATGAGGTTACTCAAGTTTGAAATGGCAGGGTTGACAACTGACCCCGCAGCAGCAACCACCATGGCCTCAAGATTACCGATCTTCTTGACGATCTGATCAACCAGCGGCTGAACTGTCTGGGGTTGTTTCAAAGCTCTAGACACTGAATCGGCCACTTCCTTTGAGAGCTGGGGCCCCAGGGCGGACTTGATGTTGTTCTGAAGACCTTGCTCAACAGTAGCCGAAGTTTTCGCTAGAACTTCGGGAAGCAAAACGTTACGGATGTTGTCGTCAACCATCTTCCTGATGACGCCTTCGACGTTCTCGTTTAGTGTGCTAGAGACCATGCGTAGTATCGCTTCTTGCTTGGCACCATTCGCGGCGTTGAGAACGCGCTTGTCTTCGTCGAATCGCTTGTACATGACATCCAACTCACGAGAGAAGCCCTTGCTGATCTCAGCTTGAAGAATCTCTTCAAGCTTTGAAGAGTCTATTGGGCCAGCAGAAGCGTTGCCAGCAACAGCAGCAGTAATAGCAGGGGTTTGTTGCTGGATGTGCTTATTGATAAGCTGCTTAGCCCACTCAGGCGCTTCTGTTGTTGTCTCTGTGACCTTGGCATTAGAAGGTTGTGCCTCAGGAGCAGCCTCTATGAGTGCAGGAGACTTGGACGCAGGAAGCGCCTGTGCAGCTTGCGCATATGATGGAGGTATGGCCGTAGGTGCGCGAGCAACTGATGGAGCCACCGATACTTGCGAAGCTGCTTCTGCAGCGGCCGTGCGCTTCTTCTTTTTCTTCTCAGCCTTCTCACCGCCGCCGTTCATAATGGCTGCACGAGCCGCATCTTGCTTGCTCTCAACCTTGGCTAGTGTAGATGCACGCACAGCAGCCTCTGGGTTCATTGAGTGCTTCGAAATGTTGCTGCTCTCTCTCTTCAGAGTCTCGCGAACAGACCGGTCTGAAACAGACTTGGGTGCAGGAGTATCTCCAGTAGTAGACGACTCATCTGTAACAGGCTGTGGCGCCTTGAGTGTCGAGATAGAAATGATACCTTCTTCCTCGGCTTCCTTGGGATGAATTGGTTCACCTTCCTTCTTCCAGCCAAGGTCGCTTCGACGAATACGCAAGACGCATACTCCCTTGGAGTGCATGACATACAGCTCAAAGAGGGCGGCATTGTCCGGATCATCAACATCGGCAGGACCGGCAGGCTCATTGAGCATGTGCAGACTTCTGATCTGGCCCTTTGGAGCGAATGAGTACTCTGTGATACTTGTCATGATAGCCGTAGCATTGACTGGGGGCAGAGGGTTCTGGCCCTTGTCGCCCTTGTTAGCCAAGCGAGAAATGTAGGCTGCTTGACTCAGAACTGGCAGGTTATAACGCGGGCATGACACATGGACGAAGAAGATTGAGTTCCTCGTGGGATGGGCAACTGCCATAATGCCGGTTCGGGGGTGGAACGACACGCTGCAGATAGCATCTGATTCGTTCTCATGAGGCAAATGGATCTCCTGAACGGCCTTGTTGAGACCAAGATCCCACAGCTGGAAGGCGTGGTTCTGCTTCATACCGACCATGACATAACGCAGCGCAATACCCTTAGTGTAAGGCTTGTCCTTGTCAAAGAAGAAGACCGAAGTAGGCCATGACTTGGCGTTCGGGGTCGTAGTGTGGAACTCGAGCAGGGTCTCAGAGACTTCTACCTGTCGGGGTGGGCTGCGAGGGTTGCCCAGGTCAGGCTCAGTCAGGCTGCGGATATCCCAGAAGCGCATACGGCCAGCCTTATCCAATGAGACAATGATGGTGTCGTCCTCGCTGAAGGTGAAGTCCTTTCCAGCTTTGCCAGTAAGAATCTTGAGAGAACGCTCCTTGAGATATTTCTCGGTGTGACAGATACGGCTCTTAGTGCGAGCGTACTCTGCAGCAACTCGAGGGAAAATGATGTGGATCGACTTGCCCCGGCCAACAGCGAAAAACTCGGGGTGTCGTGAAGATGGCTTGGCGCGTGTCTTGAGCTGACCTCCAGATGTGTTATCATCTTGGGATGGCGACGGGGGGAGCATCAGGCCCTGAGAGTCAAGGTTCTCGCCGAACTGGTCCTCACGGGCAGGGTCAAGGGATGTCCAGAAGACAGTACCATTGACTCCTATGCCAAGGATGCTCTCAAGTGGCTGTTGTGCGTCATCTGCAGAGGTGCAGAGAGCGATGTTGAAGATGCGCTCTTGGTGGTTCTCGAATACCTGGCGATAATGTCCGTTCTCCTGACGAATGATGCGGAAACCACCCTTTTTGACGAGAGCATAGACAATGAAGTTCTTGCTGGCAGCAACAAGAGATCGGTCAATCTGATCAAAGTCCTTCTTTAAACGAGCAACGTCCATAAAGAGCTCGTTGCTGAAGTAGAGATTGCGGGGCGGCATTTGGTTGACCTGGATGGAAGCAAAGGCACGCATGGGGAATCTGTAGACTATTACCGTCTGGTCATCACCCTTAGCAAGGCTTTCTTCGGCTTCTGCAGTTTCCCAGTTCTCAGCGACATTGTCTTCAGCAATCTCGGCAGCGACATCCTTCAAAGCAGCCGCGAGTGGCTTTGAGAGGCTCGCTTCCATCTCCTTGGCCTTATTGGGGTCTTCGAAATCTTCCTTGATCTCAGCAGCAATCTCCGTCATGACCTCTTGGACCTCTTGGACTTCGAGATTCTCTCCCTTTACCTCCTCGGGCAATGGTGTAATTGACTTGCTCTCAGCTTCGGCAAGCGCATCCTCAACCTGCTGCCCTACTTGTTCGCCCAAGTCATTCACGGCTTCGGCCACAGACTCATGTACATGGGCTGGAGCGTCCTCATCGGCTGGCGGGAGAGGAGCTTCTGGAGCGTTCTTCTTGAGGATCTCGACCTTAGGGGCGGGAGGCTTAGATCCCTGCTGGACAGGAGTACGGTTGCGCGGGCTTGCAGCTTCAAGTTGGTCAAACGGATTGACGTAGGTGAACTTTGGAGCGAGCAATGAAGCTTCGTTGCTGTTGGAGCCAAAAGCCTTTGTGGATGAGGCAGATGTTCCTGGTGCTGGGGCGGCGGGAGAAGCAGATACCTGCTCAAGCTCAGCGTCGGCGAAATCTTGCACGACGTCGTCCACAACCGTTTCAGGCTTGTTAGACGCGACAGGCGGCGAGAACGCGGCTGAGACAGGCCGAGATGAGCGGCCGCTTGACTGGGCTGGCTTGGGATGGTTGAGCAGGCGGAGGAGCAGGTCCTGTGGGTTCTGCTGCTGCGAAGGCACGGGCGCCGGCATAGCCTGAGCTTGAGAGGGAGCGCTCTGGGATGACGTCCTACCGCCACCCATCATGCTTGCCATCAAATCAGACGTCTGAGCCAGCGACTGCTGCGAAACGCGTCTGGAGTGCGCAGAGCCAGACTGTGAGTTGAAGCGCAGCAGGTTGAGGAGGTTGGTTGACTGCTGCTGTGGCGTCTGGTGCGACACATGGCTTTGTTCGGGCGCAGGCGTACTCGCCATGGACGTGTTGGGTGACATGACGGCAGAATGGTGATGAGGCTGTGGGCCACTCGGTAAGGGGGAGAAGATGGGCGACGAGACAGAAGGCGGCTGATAGCCGTGCTGCTGCGATTGCTGCTGCTGCTGCTGCTGTTGCTGCTGATTGCTAGAGCCGCCACCTTGGAGCCGGGCAAATAACTCCTGCAGGTCGGCCATGGTGAGGGATGAAAGGGCAGATCTAGTCTGTTATTAGTAAAGGCGGCAAACGCACGCATCTCACTGCTGGCAATGAGAAGCTGACGCTGTGGGCGACGTACGTTACTCAATACCCAAAATTCGCGTGCGCGGCCGAAGCCTTGGGTCCCGTAAAAGCTGAACTGAGAGAACGGTCCTGTGTAAGAAGAAAACGACTTGGGAATAGACAGAAAATGCAAGTGACGAGCTGCGATGAAGCGCAGTTGTCAATTGACGGTGCAAGAAGGAAGCTCGACAAGTTTGAGGTGACTTGGTTGGCGCCGACTGCTCGAAGCTACTACGCTAGCGCAATTGGGACGGCCGCGGCGGAGCTCCGGGACCGGGTGGCACGTCACCACGTCACGACAACAGACGGCCTAGTCGCGCCTCTGACTTTCACTCTGCAGTGCCAAGCCTGGCCACATCATATCTCTCATGTAGTCGCCTCTCCATCCGGCCTTTCTATCTTGCAATTATAGGCCACCGTTTGCCCATTCCTCCTGCACCACCATCAGTCGCCTCTATCACCCCCACAAAACTAAGTGAAGGAGGTGAAGGTATCCCTTGTTCAGCTGTGTAGGTTTCCTAGGGACTGGGGAAGCCATCTGATTCTTTCTTTGAATTTTACTATACACTTTCCAGCTTTACCTCGCTCTCTGGATTATACACTATTCAAGGATGTACAGAAAGAACTGGCGCCCTGTATAAAATATGAACACAAAAAAGAATTGCTTCATCTGAGGCAGGTACCAAAAGGCTTCTGGCAACCCATGATGCTCATGCACGAGATAACGCTGAAGGTGCACTGTCCATTCCGGCTGCAGCATCCGCCAAAGCGCGAGCCCTTGCACGTGTAGCCAGTGTTTCCTCCACAGCGTCCATTCGGTGACGTCTTGAGGGGAGTGGATGTAGCGACAGGGGCTGATGATGTGCGAGTGCTGGTTGCTGACGATGTTCGGGTACTGGTCGCTGGGCGAGTAGACGTGATCATACTGCGTGTTGAGCTAGTTGCAGGGACACTGGGAATCGGGATAGATGCCGAAGATGCGCATCGACCAAGAAGAGGGTTGCAGCCGGTTCCACAATGGTCAGCGCTCGAGCCGCACCAGCCATATCTATGCAAGCTTCGTCAGCTACATGGTCTCGGTGAAAAAAAAAGAAAGAGATAGACTTACTGCGAGCAACACTCGCCCTCAAAGTAGCCAGCACACGTGTAGCCTTTAGCACCACCACATGAACCGTCTTGGGACACCCCGTTGGAGGGGTTGGGAGTTGGAAGAGTGGACGTGGTGCTAGAAGCTGTCCGAGTAGACCCACTGACAGTTGAAGACGCGGGGCTGACAGGCGCCGAAGAACCAGCGACTGAGCATTTGCCAAATCTGGGGTCACAGCCTGTTCCACAGTGATCTGCAGTGTTTCCACAGAAGCCATACTGGGAGCAGCACTCTCCTTGAGCAAATCCTGTTAGATTCGTTAGCGAGTGTCAGACCCATTCCTATTTATCAATCTTACCGAGACATGTGTAGCCCACCTTGGAGCCGCAAGAACTGTCAGGAGACACAGCCGTAGGAGTGACGACAGCGCCGCTAGATGTGGCGCTGGCGGCTCCAGAGGCAGTGGAAGAGGTAGGCGGTGTGAAGGCAGACGACGAAGCTGGTCGGCTGGTGGGAGTGCGGTACCAGTTCGCCTCTGGGTCGCCCAAGCATTCACCCAATGTGACCAGCCTGTATCCCTTTTGTGTCATCAAATCAAGCATGTAGCCTGTGAGATTCTGTGCCGTCTGTTGGTGGATATCGTGTGCAATAGCCTGGAAATTGTCCTCGGTTGGATTACTCGGGTTGATCACAGCACTGACTCTGTTCTTAGAATTCTGAATCAGATCAGGTGTTACGTTGTTATAGTCTATTGGCTATTAGCAAGGCTGATGCCGATAAGAGTAGGTGTGGAGCAGCTCTAACCATCAGTGCTAATTCACAAGTCAGCGCATGATTTCAATACTGTCTTCCAGGATACTTACTCAAGATCAAAGTAGGAAACAACATATCCCAGGTCCGCAAGATCCTTCTGGCACCCTGATGCAGCAGTGCAAGATGAGTACGGCGGACGCATATACGTCGGGAATTTGCCAATGATGTTTGTTAGGGCCATCTAGAAGTAAAAAGTTAGTTGAGTAATCGATTTTGTCCTGTGCCATTACTCACTTCATTCCTGACCATTTGGTCGTAACGCTGCTCCTTTGTAATGGCACTAAGATCCTGGTGAGACCAAGTATGGCTAGCAACTTGATGTCCCTCAGCGATCATACGAGATATGATAGATGGCCATTGCGTGCTCTTGTCGTCAATCGCACCTTTGTCAATGTTGATACCAGTGACGAAGAACGTTGCTTTGGCATTGTAGGCTGCGAACTGGTCGAGTACACCGCTGGTGTAGATATATGGCCCGTCATCGTATGTAATGGCAATGGTGTTTGGGACGACGCAATCATAGATGCCTTCGCCACCATATGGCTGGCTGCCGAGCTTTGTACGAGGGGTATTGCGAGTGCTACCTCCAGTAGGAACTTTGTTGGCATCGCAGGCAGGGCCATACTGGAAGCGGCAGTCTGGTGCTGCGCAGTAGTCCGCTAATCAGACATGTAACATTAGCTTGTTGTTCATATCAATCAAACACGAGGAATCCTTACATCCTTGTCCACAATAACCTGCTGTAGAGCAGCAGTATCCTTCAGCACAGCTGGCATTACCATGTTCGGCTCCACATCGACCATCAGCGCCACCTTGACGCTTGCTGAGAGCCTTTTCAGGACCAGCAACCCTGGGAGCCTGGCTGTCGAGGATGTTCCTACTCCTTAGTTTACCAATATCCTTGGACCCAGATCCAACTACCTTTGGAGTATGACCAACACTGTGAGCAGCCACAAGAGGCGCCAGCAGCAGTGCTGCGGACAACTCTTTAAAACGCATGATCCGAATTGATTTGAAGCGATCGACCGTCTCAAACTCAAGCGCGGCAATGAGAAAACAAGCGAGTGTGTGGGTGAATGATCGACCAATATTATGTATGATGCAAAAAAGGCGATTCTTAAACGAGTGACATACCCCTTTGACGGAACAAAGAGAGGGGAAGGGTAACCAAGAAGCAAAGATTACTGCATGACCGAGTACTTATGATATATGCCGATTTGCGCACAGCCAAGAATGGACAGGCTTTGCCCAGGGTTTGGGGGATAAAAATCAATATCGATGCCGATTCAGCATGTAGCGTGCTTGGCTGTGGACGGCCCAGCCCCCAGCGTGTGTCAGATGTTGCAATGGCTGACCTGAGGCACGGATAGCGTTGATTGAAGTCATGAAGTCACTACATGCGGGTACGTCTGGTTACACAGTCAGTCGACATGTGCCAGAATGTCTTTTGTTACAGTCAAGTCTGCTACCCCTACTTGTGTAGACGGTTGATTTAAGGTACAAAATAAGCTCTCTATCGTGGCACGAACCGTAGGTATTGCGAGGATACGTTGTTATCAATATTGTTTGCGGTGCTATTGCAAAGTATGATTGTCCTTTAGAGGTTTAGGGGCACCATGGCTTTCCCTCAGCCAAGAAGATGCCCCTGGCTTATTTCCTGATGGAGGCGCGGATCTTGCTAGCGTCCGCGCTTCGCGTAAACAAGAAACATTAATGATCCCCATTTTGGAGTACCTGGTTCGGTCCAGACTGTATGTAGGATACGTACTGCTCTCTCAAGCTGTGCTGCATGGGTGCGCATGCAGAATTCAGGGCTCTTCTACTGCCGGATCGTCTTTTTCTTGGTCGTGATCATCGGCGCTTTATTTTCAAAAAGACCGGACTGTTTTCTCCTGCATGGAACTTTTTCCTGCTATGCTGCCCATAGGTACGTTCGTTCTGATGGCTGGGCAGAATCTTGTTCAAAGCTCCATCATTGCTGATAAAGCGTTGACCGCCGTTGTTTCAAGTGGCGATACGGACGCCTGACGGACGTGTCTTGCCTCCAAACCGAGGAACCACAACGAGCATGGTGACGACTCGTTAGAATACAGAATGGTTGCTACAAAGTCTTTTCTACGGGTCTCTTGTTTGTTCCGCGATGTTTGGCTGGTGTGGGCAGTGTTGGTGGAAATGAGGTAATTCTCTTCTGCGTACTACGGACCCGATACCGATGCAAGGTGCCGGAAGCCCCAGCACTAACTTTTGTTGCTCGGATCGGCAAGGTGGAAGAAACAAATAAAAATAGGATCACAAGGAACTTTGGCACGCGAGCGACCCGTCGCTTGGATTGTTGAGATATCAGGGACCGTTGTACATAGGGCCACGGCAGTTGTGTATTCGGGATACGGTGCGCACATGAAGACATCTAGCCACGCACTCGGTGCAGATCATTCTGATGTATTTTCCTCTTTCGGTATGTCATCCATCTAACCAAGTCTTCGGCCACGTCACAGTCGTTCTGCTTTGGGGAGTGGTGCTGTAGAGCGAGCATATGTGGAAAAAGAGATACTGTATACTGATTCAAGAAAAGCCACCAGGGCTCTTCTCTCGACTCGGGATCGCATTGATGAAATCCCCTTGACCTTAACGTGATAAGGTGCGGCGCACAGACCAGCTGCTTACCGTGGTGCAAAAAAGGAGCCCCTCCACCAACCCACCACCTAGGAGACTACGGGAAGTCCATCACAGACGCAAAAAAGAGTTGGACTCGCGGGGAATCGAACCCCGGACCACTCCCAGGCCTGCTCCTGCGCTTTTGAAGGCGGAAGAACTGATGCTAAGGGAGTATTATACCACTAAACCACAAGCCCGATCTCAAGCTTGTTGCTTGACTTGATGGAAGAACAAAGGATTTGACAAATTATAACACAAGAACTAAAACTGGAGCAGCAGTGAGGGTATAGGAGGAGTTCAGACTGCAGTGGGTCGGTAGCGGTGGGGTTCTTTGGGGTGGAGAAGGCACACTAGACATGCTTCTAGACCCTTGGTGTAGGTATCGGGCCTACAATTTTTTTCTGGTATGGCTTTCTGCACTTTATGAGAACTTCACGCGCAGATGTTCAGAACTGGTGTTCCGCGGTATGCCACCTGGTTGTCGTTTCTTGTTGCCGCAAAGCGATATTTTTCACAAATCAACCAGGAAATTCCCAGCAGCATTTAACTCGCAGTATTAAATTAGCGTGTTGTGAATTCCTTCTACCTACGAAGAGAAGACTCTGGATGCATTCATAGCAAGTCAACGCCCTACCAGTATCAACCATTAGGCAGCAAACGCCACTGAGTGGCTAGAATCGCTGCTGGAGCATTGTAGGCTATGAGCATTGCTTGATATCCTAATGCCCATACTCATGCGTGTACTTGACCCTTTGGAGTTACTGGGTCTGCGGTAGTGGCACAGTGGGCAGTCGGTTATTCTGATAGATCAAGACACACTTTGTGCTACCAGACGACAAAATGTGAGCCTTTGGCACAGGCAGATGCAGTCTCTTGCTTGAGCAGCCTCGTCCACCGCACCCACGAGTGCGTCTGACGGACGGGCGCATCGACCCGCTCGGCCGTCGTCGGCGGCGATAATATTATTCGCATATCATGGCACCACGTGTGCGATGGGTTGCACGATCTATCTCTGCCCGGTTAGCTGCATGAACAGCCGGAGATCTGCACGAGGCCTGTCAAGCGATGGTGCCCTCTCCAATGACGTCGAGCTGGACTTAGAGAAGACGCCCCAATCACGCGGGGACCCAGCCCTCAGCAGGCCGTGGCGCGGACCGAAGACAGTCGCTCCGGGCCCTTTCCGCACGCAAACCATAATAAAAACGGTCCCTCATTCCAACAAGCATCCCGACCCACACACTGGGAAGGAGCAAACGACGAGCTAGACCGCATTTCGCTTAGACTAGCGCAAACACAACCGCGGGCACATATTTTCTCTGCCCTGGTGGTGCCCCTCGGTTCCTCCTACAACGATCCAAACTCATCAATTGGTGCCAGTACGATTCAAACGACCCTTTGAATCACTTGCCAGAAGACACCGTCTTTCAACGTCACTCCCTCCATTACTCGTACGACACTTCCAGTAAGAGCAATGCCCGCACCTTGTGCCATGCGACTGCGAAGTAATATCTGACAAGCATAGGTCTCTTCCACAAACTCAAATATGGAATACCAAGCACCTGCTCCTGCTGCTGGCGCCGGCGGCCGTGGCTGCTACAACTGTAAGTTGAACATTACCAACGTTACCAAACGGCACCCTCGCCACTGTGACCCCGCAATGGTCGACTTGGCGAGCCCTGGATTTTCTTGTACACCGAATGGGCAAGATACCAGTCGCTTTCTTGAGCAGCAAACTCAGTCGCCACTTCTGTCCTTTGAGCTGTCGATTGCATGTTGATACGCTGTACACGCCTTTTGCTAACAATGTGCAGGCGGCGATGCGTCTCACCGCGCTGCCGAGTGCCCTACCAAGGGCACCCCAACCTGCTACAACTGTGGCGAGAAGGGTCACGTTAGCCGTGAGTGCAGCTCTCCTCAGGCTGAGAAGACTTGCTACCGTTGCGGCGGCACTGGACACATCTCTCGTGAGTGCACCAAGGACGGCGGTGCCCCAATGGGAGGCCGTGGTGGCGGCAGCCAGGAGTGCTACAAGTGCGGTCAGGTCGGTCACATTGCCCGCAACTGCTCCCAGGGAGGCGGCTACGGCAATGGTGGCTTTGGAGGAGGTCGTGGTGGCTACGGCGCCGGCGCCGGTGGTTACGGTGGTGCTCGCCAGACGACCTGCTACTCGTGCGGTGGTTTCGGTCACATGAGCCGTGACTGCACCCAGGGCCAGAAGTGCTACAACTGTAAGTGGATACGGCCGACAAACGACGACTGTCACTGACTTTGTTTAGGCGGCGAGGTTGGTCACCTGTCTCGTGACTGCCCCCAGGAGACATCTTCTGAGCGTGTGTGCTACCGCTGCAAGCAGCCTGGCCACGTCCAGAGCGCCTGCCCCAACTAGAGTGGTTTGAGGTGCCGTCGATGTTTTGATCTAGAATGAGTTTCGATGCACCAGCCTGCCATCATGCAACTGTGGCGGCAGGTCGGGATTAGGGTAGCAGAGATTGCGCCCAGGCTGTGACGAATCATCGACATGATTACGATTTCCTTTCTTGTATATTTTCATTCTGCGGCTCGCTGCCGTTTTTCGACGCTTCACGAAAAGCATATCGTCGCCCGGGCATGATTGGACGGCCTTTTCCTGAGTTGGCAGTTCTGTCAAGAGAGTTGGTTATCGGAAAAGTCTTGATCCAGGAAGAGCGTTTGGTGGGAGATACAAAAGTGGGTGGATAGGAGAGCGGATCCTTACGCGAGCAATGAATGGAGCAGTGCGTGGTCTGCACGTGGACTGTGACTGTAGGAGAGCGACGTCTCTTTTGGCGGATGGCTAGTCTTTGGGTTGTGGCCGAGCAGCCAAAGACTCTGACTGAGGTTGAATAAAGACACGAGAAAAGTCCCCACGATTGGGTGGGCTCCTCAACTTATACCCGCGCCAATTTCGTGTACCGTGATGGACGTGCGCTAAGCCAGGTTAACCTGTGTACAGGATAGTTGACATGCAATACTCAAGGAATGTGTGTGGGGGGGCACGGAGCTACAACGGGCAAATTGGGTAGCCTATGCGAGGGAGAGTGGTTGGAATGGGGATGGGAAATGGCGTGATGTGGTGCATGATTAGGGTTCGCAGTAAGCTGTGTATTGGAGAGTTTGTGGTTGAGATACCGGAAACATACAATTATGTCATACTTCATATCTTAGTAGCAATGGCCTAATGGCATTCTTACGCCCGTGCGTGTGGTGGTGCACTTTCTGCGTTGACGTTCGCCAAGCCCAGGTACGCCCGCGTATGTTCGTTTACATCCCACCCAAGCCCAAACAACATATGTTCAACCAACGGCGCCGACGACTCGACACACGAC